ATTAGTGTTGGGCGATATGCTCAATTTTCATATCGTCCTATCGTCAGCCTGTGAGATCGCCGATACATGATATTATCGTGCTAATTTATGTAATTATTTACTTAGTTTCATTGCGAGAAAGTAAACCAACTCCAGCGTAAGGCTAAAAGCAGCCTAATGTTTTTAATATGACTGAATTTGTATTTAACGTGATAACAAATTAATAGAAACATCGTAAGTTACTAATTATAATGCTTACATTTCCTCCTTATTCAAAAAGCAGCTACAGAAAACGAGCAAAGAACATTACATTACCAAAGAACATCATCACAAGCTCAGTCTAGCACGAGTTTATGCACTTTAAAAACACTCCCGTTAAAATCAGTGAATATACACTGTATGATGAATAAATCTCTAATACTTACATCGCACGTACATCTGCACATTGTTGTTTATGAGGAGAGAATTCGCGAGTCAGAATTCAGTCACTCAGCGCGCACTGAACAACAGAACTCCGCTGTTTCAGTGATGACTCATCTGAACGCATCTGATTGGCCATTGCATTCATAAGCTCAGCATAATCGTGTGTGATTGGTTAGAACGCGCAATACTGTAAAAATGCAGAAAAAGAAATATAATGCAACAAATAAGCCCTAATATTAATTAGATAGTATTACTAGCCTGATAATAATAATAATAATAATCGTCTTGCTATCGTCAAAGGCATCAGCCACAGGCAATATCTGTCTATCTTCGATACACGATACTATCGTCTATCGGCACAACCCTACTACGGATGCAAAAACGCAGATAATCGAACCTGGTCCGATTTTTTTATGACGGACGAAAGTTTCAGAGGCAGTGTGTAAACATGATTGACACAACATGAGGTCGTATTTATTTTTTAACATGCGAAAATTTCGGACAAGAATTTTGGACTCAGTGTGCCAAGACCTTTAGTGAGCAAGAGCCTTCTTTCAAAAACGTTAAAACAAAATTAACCAACCCCACACTTTTGAACAGTAGTGTGAAAGGAGGAATAGGATTAGGACACATCACTAGCAGGATTCAAATTTCAAACCAGTGTCACCCACATGAAAAAGTCTGAAGGCCAAACAAGTGCACAAAAAACAAAAGCATTTCCTTTATAAAAAAAAAGGCTGTAGACGTTTATAACTTCCTGCTTTTCAGCATTAAAGAATGCTTAAACCAATAATGCAATAAAGAAAGTTGTTCCGTTCATCTAAAATGACCTTAAATCAAATCAAAGATTCATCCTTTAAGCAGTAAAAGTAAGGACATAACACCCAATATGCACTTCAAGTAACCAAATCGTGCTCCCAAAATACTTCTGGGAATGGGATAATTGTTCAAGTGTTGTGCTGTGGCAAACACTAAAAATGAATTGAAACAAATCCTCCAGATGACATTGGGTGAAGCTCTCGTACCTGTTCTGCTCCTCTAGTTTGGCCAACAGCTCCACATCATCCGGGCTGAGCTGGGACGGGGAAGCTGAGGAGGGCGAGGACAGCGAGGCCATGGATGAAGCCACAGTGGTATGCAGCGAGGAGGGGGTGGCCACCTGACTAGCCATCTGACTCACCGTGAGCGACACTGAGTTCTTCACCCATGAAAGAGTCGAACTCAGCTTGCCTGCTACCTTGTCTGTCGCCACCTTTGGAAAAATGAAAGAAACGGGTTTAATTGTAAAAATTAATTCAGAAAACATCTTAAAGTCTTGATTTTAGTAAACTAAAGGATATTATACATTTCTTGTTATAAAAAGTGCTTCCTATTTTTATATAATATATGATTTGTCGAACAACATGATAGTTTCAGGGTTTAGCCTCTAAAAATGTACAAATATTTGAAATAATCATCATGTGTTCTTCTAAATCTTTATTTTGATTCAACTGCTTCTAACACCTAATGCAATAATGAAAACACATTCTTATGTAAACCTAAGCTACATAAATGGCGTTATAAATTGGTAGATATTGAATAATGAAATTGAACAATGCAATAAACTGTGAAACCAACTAAGACCATTTCTTCAATAAGATGCTTTAAGAAATAAAAAAATAACTGTTTCAACTTTGTTAGCAAGGATGCTGAGATGGCCTGACAGACTGAGAGCCTAAATATCTCACACAGACATTCTCATGTATGGAAAAACTCCGGTCAGTAACAGCTTTGTACTGTCCAATATTTGAATGTGGCAAAGTTCTCAATACCGCATACAAACACAATGGTTTTCATACTTGGTTTGGACTGCACTATGCAATTGTTCACTTTCCCTTTTATACCTTTTTTGTCTGTGATTTTAAAAACACCCATAAAAGCACTATTTTTAAAACTAATAAATTTCACCCAAAATTTAACATTTTCTTTCTTCCACAGAACACAAACGAGGATATATTGAAGAATTTTGATGACCTAACAGTTGTGGTTACAAAAAAAAAAAATTTGACATTTCTCACAATATCTTTTTTTTTTTTTTGTCAGTAATACAGACATGAGGGTGAGCAAATTATGACAGAATTTAAATTTTTGGATGAACTAACACTTTAAGAACTTGTGAACACACTTGCTGGTAATATAACGCCTCCTGTTCAGGACATTCAAAAAATGATGAGATGTACAATTTTTACAAAACATTCACATATTTTGTGGGTTTGAAATTAACAACCAGCACCAGCCAAATGCAGATGCTCTTCACCAGGCACAGTGGTGTGAGACCTGCAAGACATGTCAGACTGACATTTAGCAAGAAATGCTGTTGCTAAGAAGCAATGCCTGACTTCAAATATAATATTTTGACTTCAAAATATTTTGATTCTGCCTAATATTTGTGGCTATAGGATACCAAACGCAGCAAATGACACAGAACTACATTGGGGTTACAGTTGAATTGCCAATGACATAATAAAAGATAATAATGCTATATTATATATTACTTTTGAGATCATATGCTAGTGTACTCCTAAAGCTTTTATATTTTACACAACATTTTATATATATATATATATTTTTTTTTTTTTAGGAAAAACAAAATATTGACACCTCGTCTTCCACTCTCTGTGGGCATGTCTAATTATTTGTCCAATAAAATGTTCTATAAATGAAAACCTCCCTACCACTAAAACCAATTATTACTTGTCTCTGACTAAACATGAGCACCTTCCTCATTCAATGAAAAATATGCTACGTCAACATAGGAAAGAAAACTGTATTTGTGAAGCCATTTTATAGGCTCTTTAAACTGTGTAATGGGTTTTATAAAACACACATTCCTTACAACTACACAAGCAAAATGGTTTACTAGGTCATTAGTTAGGTGTGTACACCACAGATTGGAAACTGATGCCATTTGTCATTCTATATTTTCAAATACGACCTCTAGAAGGTTTGGACTAAGGGAATGTTTGAGGTCGTTGTGTACTTTCCACCGGAACGACAATAGTACAAAAACGGACTCACACGAACTGAATCACACTGTAATGAAGACATCAAAAAAGGCACCAAGCAGAAAAACTTATGTCAACTAACAGTACGGAAAACCTTAAGACAACTGGGAACGGCAGGCCAGAACACTGTAACATTAGAAAGCCAAGAACTCTCCTCCATCTAGGATTTCCTTGGTGTACTTTGCTCTTACCTGAAGAAAGATGTCAGCCTAACTGAGGTCCTCGCTAATTCCATAAACAAATCCACAGCAGAAATAACAGGTAAATCACAAGAGTCTTCCGTCTTCAAACACCATCAGCAGCTTTGCAAATTCCAAAAGTCACACTGTTGTGTAGGTGTCACCTGGGGTCAAAGTGCTCATGTAGAAGACACTGAAGCAGCTGTAAAGCAGACAGAAGCAGTATAAGCTTCTGCTTTCCCTTTTACAGCTGTAGTAACGCTAATTCATGCCTCGGAATTCACCCTACAAAGAAAAAAAACAATTTTCCTGCAAAACATCTGTGACGTCTGAACTCACCGCACCGAGCTTCATGACATAAGTGAGCTGTAGTGATAAACCCAGGGGAAGTCTACCTCTGCACAACAAAGCAGGTTTCTCATTTGCATGCGGCACTTCTCTGAATCCTCTACAAGACAGATCACGTTTCCTCTTGCAATCTCCATTTCTGACAAATTATGACCACACGCCTATGCATGGCTTCTGTGGTTTCACAAACCACCAAAATTTTATAGTATTCCCCAGCAAAATGCCTAGAAATGACTCAAAGTCGTCAAGGTTGGAAACACCCTTTCTTAGATAGCGTTACAGTCAGAAGAGTGACACAGAAAGAGGTGGGGCATAAACAGGAATACCAGAACAAAGTGCAGTTACAAATGAAGGAGCAGTCTAAGGATTGATAGTTGTGTCTGAAATAAATAAACTTCATATACACTGACTACATAACTACATATATGCATAAAATTACAATATATAATAATAATATACACCATATATTTTATTTTTTCTACTTAATTACTTTTAATTGAGTGTGCGTTTTTTATTTATTTATTTATAAGCCCTTTATGTGCATTGTAAAAATGGAGTATGAATAAAAATTATTGGAGTATGTTTTATAAGAAAATATTTTATTTTAGTCTTTCTATTTAAAATTTCACATTTAATCCAATGTTCTACTTAACGTTTCTTTGATATTTACTGTGAAATTTACTAGCAATTACTTAGCGAAAATTTAATTAAGTCATTTTTGTTTTCTTTGTGCACAAAAAGAATTCTCACAGCTTCGTAAAATCACGGTTGAACCACTGAGTCACATGGACTATTTTAATGATTTCCTTACTACGTTCCTGGGCCTGGAAACATTTCAGTTGGGTTGCTGTCTATGCAGGTTCAGAAAGCTCTCGGATTTCTTCAAAAAATCTTAATTTGTGTTCTGAATATGAATGAAGGTCTTACAGGTTTGGAACAACATGAGGGTGAGTAATTAATGACAGAATTAAAATTTTTGGGTAAACTGTCCCTTTAAAAACAATAATTAAAGGGGTCATATGATGCGATTTCAAGTTTTCCTTTCTCTTTGGAGCGTTACAAGCTGTTTGTGAATAGATAAGATCCTAAAGTAGCAAAGACTAAAGTCTCAAACCCAAAGAGATATTCTTTATAAAAGTTGAGACTCGTCCACGCCCTCCTAAAATGCTTCATTTAAACATGTCTACGTCACGATGTGGGAAGATTTGCATAACGCCGCCCAAATGTTCACGCAAAGGAAGAAGGCATAACTTTATTGTTGCTGCCACCATGTTGCCTCCATGTTGTGAAGATGCTGTGTGTTTCGTTGCGGAAGCGAAAATACTTTGTTTGGCCTTCCAAAAGAGGACACGACTAGAAATCAGTGGTTAAGGTGTATTTACAACACTGTTCCAGAACAGTTGAACCCAAATATTCAGATGTGTCCAGCGCATTTTATGGAGGACTCTTTACTGATCCTGGAAGAGTACACTACAATGCCGGTGTTCTGACAAATAATGCTGACTCACAGCCTGCAAGTACGTTTTCATATTTAAAGGATTTGCCACTGATGATTCAAACGTGAGTTTTGAACAGTGTAGAGTAGCGCTTGTTGCTTGTCATTTCTCCGATCACAATTGCAGCCATGGTTTTATGTTTACACGGCGCGGCGCGACGCAGCACAACGCGTAAAAAGACAGTATAAGTCATTATAATCAGTACTTATGTCCCCACTGGATGCAACAAATGCCTCGTGTATAATGGGTTTTAATGCTTTTGTCTCGTCGCTCCGGCCGGGACAAGGTATCACAATATGGCAAGGGT